AAAAAGTTTGTCAAACTTGGAAAACTTGATAAATTACCTTATGTAAAAGCAATCTCCAAAGAAGAAATTTCAATTACTGATTATCATGAGATGGCTACAGCGTTAAGTAATGTAGGATCGGTGTTGAACAAACTTGGACGACTTAATGAATCGAAAGAATGTTTTGAAATAGCACTATCAACTAAAGAAAGTGCCGGTGGTAGTCAAGCCAGTGTAGCTATGACGCATTACAATTTGGGAACATTGTTTTACAAACTGGAAAAACCTTATGAAGCACTAGAGTGTTTCAAAGAAGCGCTGAGAATTGAGCGAAGCAGTTTGGGCAGTAATCATCCTAAGGTGGCTATAACGATAGATAATTTACGATTAGTGTTGACGCACCTTGAAAAGCGTAACGAAGCCAATCATCCTACAGCGGCTAGGGCTTATTCTTTCTTAGGAGGAGCCTTGAAAGAACAGCGAAAACTCAATGAAGCCAAAGAATATTTCGAAAAAGCATTAGCAATCGAAGCGAACGAACCATCTCACTGGCATAATTTAGGAGTACTTTTTGCTGAAATGGAGAATTATCAGAAAGCTAAAGAGTATATCGGCAAAGCCATTCAAATCAACGAAGAAAGACACGGCAGTAGCCATCTGAATATAGCTAACAGTTTAAAAGCTCTGGCAGTACTCTCGGAATGTATCGGCAAACTTCATGAAGCTAAAGGCTTCTACGAAAGAGAACTCGCAATTAAAGAGATCGCTTACGGCAGCAATCATCCCATGTTGGTTGAAACGTTATATAAGTTAGAATCGCTTTTAAAGCATCAAGGAAAACCGGATGAAGCCAGAGAGTTTCGCGAAAGAGCTTTGGCAATCAGCAAAAGGGACACAACTTAGTATTGAAAACAAAAAGCCATGACTACAGGGTAAACTCTTGTGTACATAACAATGTAAATATATGATTCGTGCATATCAAATGCGATACTATCAAAACGGAATAGTTATAACATAACTTTTTACAATAGTCAAAATGGTGGAAACTAGCGATAAACTAGTGTGAATTGCAACGGTGTTTCTAAAAAAACAGAAGTGTAAAAAGATATAATTAAACACCGTAAAAAAGTACGTGAAACAACTTATTGACGTTTACGACGTTAATCCTTCTACATTTTTACGGTGTTAAATTTGTRTAGGTAATAGCATGTTTTGTAGTGGTATATTGGGATAAATACCACGCGTGATATTTCAAAATTGTCAAACGAGCGAAGCGAGTGAAATTTTTTATCCCAAATTCCACGTACAAAACATGGTAGTACTTGTTTATAAAATGCTTGAATAAAATTGTGCAATTTGAAATACCACTAATAAGTTTAAATACCACTCCTCTAAGCCAATCAAATTGCACAATTTTATTCAATATTATAATTCATTTTAAAAAACTCTTGTATGTTTTTTAATAATGGTACCATTTCGTATTTATGCGTTTTAATATGATGTGACATGACAAAAATAGCACGGTAATGCGAAGAAACGCCAGAATAAGTATACTTTGCTTTACTTATAACTTGCTATTTGAGGGAGCTGGAACAGTGTCTACATGAACGCATAATTTTAGAGTGCACAAATATTTATCACTTAATTTAGTCAGTGTTTAACTATTTTTTGTCATTTTAGTTCCAACTCTACGCCTTCAAAATATCAAAAAATGGTCCATGCATCCCTCACGCAATATGTACTGTACAAAGCATACGAAAATAGTTTTAGTTTTTCATTTCATTTTATTTTCATTATAGTTTATCAATGTCCGACATATAGGATACATTGTTTTTACTATATATTTTTTTGGTCCATGCATCCCTCACGCAATATGTACTGTACAAAGCATACGAACATAGTTTTAGTTTTTCATTTCATTTTATTTTCATTATAGTTTATCAGTGTCCGACATATAGGATACATTGTTTTTACAATATATTTTTCAGTTCTAACTACATTTTAGTTCCAACAGCAATTTATTGTATTTGTTGAAGCGGCTTGTAAATACCTTGAAGTTAATGTATCCAACATAGAGGATACTTA